AGAAACATCGATCTGAGAGAGACACATCGACTGGCTGCCTCCCACAGGCACCCTGACCTGGGCGGGGGATTGAGCCTGCAACCAAGGTATGTGCCCTTGGCCGGAATCGAACCCAGAGCCCTTCAGTCCACAGCCCAATGATGCTCTACCCACTGAGAAGCCGGCCAGGCCATTATTTTAATGGGCTGTATGGGTATCCAGCTGCCACAGCACTTAGAGTCCACTGACTTCATTTATAAATGATGAAATAAATGTTCAGGACACACTGGGAATGACACCCACTGTAGCCTGTAAGCTACACAAATACAAGCTGTCAGTATTTTCTTATGAGAGATACAGACTCTTTCTAATGAGCCCAGTAACCACCAGTGTCCCCAGGAGAGGGTGCCTGGTGCTACAGAGGAGGCCGGGTGCTCTCGGGAACAGCACTAATGGAGCTGCAGAGTTTTCTCCAGGCCCTGAAATGTTCCTTTTTGCCATTTTGTTCCTAGTTCTAACGTTAGCTGTTCCTGTGAGTTCTGTGGTTAATCCTGAGGAACTTGGTTCTGTTTCCAAAAAAGCAACTTCTTAAGGCAGTAACTCCCACTTCTACTGATTGAGCTTTATAAAAAGGTTAATAAAATGTTCCCTAACTTCGAAATCCCAGTAATGTCAGGAAAGGCATCACAGAGCTCAGAGCATAGTAAATGTCCAACTCATTTAGAATATGAAAAAGTTTAGGAAGATGGTCAGTTCAACTATCCTGAACTGAGACTCCACAGGGTAAATGGACGCTCCTTCCAGTGCTGGTGAGCAAGCAGGGCTGCGTGAGGGCTCCGAGGGAAGCTCCGAAGGACAGCTGGGAGCCCAGCGGAGAGCTCCCCGGCTTCTTCAGGAAGAGCCTCTTCTGGCTGCTGTTCCCCACGAGCCCTCGCTCCTTCCACATAAGACTCCCAGATGCGGGCGGCACAAGTGACACACAGTAAGGGTTCCTAAAACGCTTCCTGTGCCTGTCAGCAGACATTGTGAAACAGGAACCTGATGCCTGAACATTTTACCTTTATTTAACTTCGTTTTTTAAAAACAAATTCACACCTTTAAATAAATAAAAAATATTAGATTTTTTTTCTTCCAAAGCATTTTAAGGCTTTTTCTAAAATATGAGCCACCAGGAATCACTGTTTTTAGTTTATGAATCAAATTGAAATGGAAAAAACACCCTTACGCTACGTTACTTGAAAGGTTTAAAGCTGCTGCTGAGAGTAAGGAAGGAGCTTAGAAGCACCACTTACATTGGCGCAGTGCAAGGCCAGCGCACAGAAGACTGCGAACATCTTGAAGTTGTTCTCATCTGTCTTGGAGAAGGCACTGCCGCTGATCTTGTTGACCATTTGTACCACGCCGATCACGCTGCCCCGGCTCACGATGGGCATGCACAGGATGTTCCGGGTGGTGTAGCCCGTGTATAGGTCCACTTCCCTGCGGAGCGGAGGAGCCAGCAACAACACAAGGAAACAAAGATCAACAGAAGATAAACTACTTACTCTATCATAAACCTCAGCTCAGCTTTGCAATTTACATGTTTCTATTACAAACACCTATAACAGAACTGTTAGCTTCTGAATTCGAGGACCATGTGGCATTTGAAAGTGTTTTTAAAACCTTTTCAAAAATATTCTAACCAGTTTGTTCTTTTGTTTTCAACAGCTTTTCAGAGCAGTATCCAGGGGGCCTTCAGCTTCTGTACAGGTAAGTACCCAGCATTACTAAGAAAACACAAACTGTCGATTCAGGGGAAAACAGAATAAATGTGGTAAGAGGTCATGTTCCTTTGAACTCAGTTACATTCATAAAAGATGTAACTTGCTCAGCAAGCAGAAGTGGGAGTTCAGAGCAGGGTCCGAACCACCCCTCCTGTGTGTAAACAGAGCTCTCGTGGAATAAACCGCACCACCCTTAACAAACCGCCAGCAGCCTACAACAGAGACACTGTGGCCTATTCAGCCAAAAGTACTACTACCTGATTCTCAGTAGAAAAGCTTTGCCGACTCTGACTTAGAGGAAATACGTTTTGAAAGTAAGGCTCTGCTCCACAGAGGCAGCGTGTAACTAAAGGCAGCTAGTGGATGGGAGTCTGTGTGCCTGCTTCTCCCACAGAGGCCAATGTTCCTGAGACACAGCACGCTGCTGTGGTGTATCGGGGCCCAGCCCTTTGACTCTGAATGGGACTCTGTGGTATGGATGTCACCTATTACTTGTCCATTCACATTAATGGACACTACTGCTGGGTAACAGTCAGCTTGTGGCAACTGTGAAAATGCTGCTCTGAAGACCTGCACACACATCTTTGTGCTGACAGATGCTAACATTTTTCCTGGAGAGACACCTAGGAGTGGCAGCTGACTGAGCAATCAGTGTTTACTTAACTTTATAAGAAACTACAAAACTGCTTTCCCAAGTGGTGGTACCATTACACATCCCATCAGCAAAGCATGGGATTCCCAGTTCCCCATATCCCTGCCAACCCTTGCTAATGTCAGTCTTCAAAAATCTTAACTATTCAAGCTGGTGTATAGTGGGTCTCACTGTCATTTAAGTTCACATCCCTCACGTCACGCATCTCATCCTGTGTTTAACGGCCATTCACATATCTTCTGTTGTGAAATGTCTGTTAAAATCTGTGCTCTATTTATTAAACTGAGTTAACTTATTATTATGTTGGAAGAGTTGTTTATATATTCTGGATACAAGTATTTTGTCAGACATGTTTCATAAATACTTTCTTACAATCTGTCACTCATCTTTTCATGTTCTTAATACTTGACCTACATATTTTTATATGAAGGTTTTATAAAAGGATATATAAGTACTTTCAGTATTTAAGCACTAAAATAGCATTTGTTTTTTTAAAAAACAACAGGTTTTCTGCATATTCTCTATTATTTTTCAGCATACACTATTATTTTCAGCACACTATTGATAAAACATGTTACTAGGGTGTATCTGTGCTTATATACGAGTTGTGCATATTTGACATTAATCAAATATCTGGTAGAACTTCCTATTATTATTTTATTTAAGTGTCTCTTAAAATAAACTGAAAGTTTGATTTAACTGAACACTCTGGTCAAAATACCTGAACTATTACTCCCTAATATTCATAGCATCAATCTTAAGACTCAATTTCTACACATATATTAAAATTATATTTATATAATTTGGTTTCTCATTCTCCAAAGAAACACAAATCAAAATCTTTCTAAGCTCTCCTAATCCAACTTCAAATCTGATAAAAGCATGCTTTCAGTTCCTACTCTATATGTCAGGAAAAGATGACAGATGTCCATAAGTATTTTCTCTAATCTTAAAAACAAAACTACAAAATAAGCATTATTGTATCCAATTTAAAGATGAGGGAACTGAGGCTCAGACATTAAGTAACTTACTCCAGGTCACCCTCAAGCTAATAAATGACAGAACAGTGATTCACAAGTGGGCACTTTCATCACTGTGTGTTATAAGCCCTTTAGACTGTGCTCAGGACAAAATGATGGCACTATAATGAAAAAAAAAAAAAGTAGCTTCATAAATTTAAACTTTAGCTTTTCAGTTGCTTTCATAATATCTTAAACTCCTCTAGCTGGGTATCACTAATGATTTGGTGTCCATTATTGTGTAAATGTCTGAAAACACTGACTCCTGATAACAGAGTCGCTGCAAAGACAGCTCCCAGAGCACCACTGAGCTAGGACAGGAGGACTGGGCTGCACGGTGGTCTCAGCCGAGTGGGACAGGAAGGCAGCAGCTAAGGGAGCCATGAACTACCTGTACCTGTTAAAGCGTGGGTCTGCGTAGGCATCTGGAATGTTCAGTACCTCCCCTGTTCTTGCTACTTGGCCAGCAATTCCTTTCTCAATGGAAAATCTGCACAGATAAAAGAGAGTCACATGCTCATTAAAATACAGGTGCCATAACATACTTTGAAACAGTTTACTACCACCAAATATTGAATGGAAACGCACCGCTGTATTTTAAATGCTTGAATTAACTTCATATTTACATACCCTAAATCATCTTATTATTATAAAATATGCAAAGGCAAAGCAGAAAAACACTGCGCAGTAATCACTTGAGACGTCAATTTAAGATACAGTTCAAAATACATGAACTTACACTGAATCACAAATTGAAATTGAAAAATCAATTAGCACTCTCCTCACTGACCAATGACAATCCTTTATGTTGGCAAAGTACCTTATAATTTACAACATGCTTCAACATACATTTTTTGAGTCATTCTCACTGTGGTGTGAACTGAGGCTCATATGAGTCCAGTAATTTGCTAAAATTTCTAAAATATTAATGGTACAAGTAAAACAAGAACACAATCTACAGCAATGTACTTTCTACCACACATAGAGCCAAAATCGCAAGTTAGGTCCGATCTTGAGATATGACACACGACTGGAATTTTAAGGCATTTACAACACAGCACTGTATAAAAATAATAATTTAAAATTTCTACTAATTTTACTTCTCTAATTTGTTAAATTTAAAATAGTCAAAACATAGGCATTATATAAATATACTTAAATATTTTTTATATTTAACATCCACATTTCCTATTATAAATACATTCTCTCATGCATAGTCTTCTGACTGCAATATTATCATCAGCCATACACTCATTTTGAAATTTAGTTAACATAGATGTCTGCAATCCACAGTATTGTCATCTTTCCATAGCTGAAAGATAACTTTCATATCATTACATTTTCAATATTATAGAAGATGATCATTATTGAAATAAAGCTCCACCCCAGGGATCTGCACTAAACAAAATGCAAAAGAGAATGGACACCAACACTAAAAACACTAGAAAGTGAGCCCAGCGCTGCATAAAACACACGGTCATTTCTACCCTAGCTTTCCTGGGCTGTGAACAGCATGACCACGACAGATCTGACACTGTGAGCAGAGTCAGGATCCACTGCAGGATTTGTGCTGGATGCCTTGGTCTGGGGGTGGTCTGTCACTTTATTCCTATTCCAGGTGGCTACCCCACATAAACAGCTGGATCCCCAGTCGGCTGGCAGAGCTACAGGCAACCACGTGCCCCTCACAGTTACCAGTGTTGTGAACATGGGCTCCAGATGAGACCTCTCAGCACTGTGAGGGACACCAGAGCCTTCCACAAGAGAAAGGACTTCACCTAAGTGACTATATCCAGGCTCACTGACTGACTGACAGATCTAAAAACCACCAAATATAACAATTAAAAAAACTGAACAGTGCCTGCAAGCCAGACTCCTGCAATTGTAGATACAGAACCTATCGCCCTAGGACCTGGAACAGCACTGCCGGTGGGGGGACAGTGGTGAGGTGCATGCTGTCCCCTTCCCACCTGGTTAGGTCCCTCGTTGGGGAGACGGCGCAAAGGAACAGAAGTTCTTGGTGGATAAGGACACTGCCTCACTGGGCTGTGACAACCGAAGCACCTCAGAGTATCATGCGGAAAGTGGTTCAACAAGGCATACAAAGCAAAGTTCTTAAAAATGCAAATGCATAAAAAAATTCATGTTTTTAATGTTAAGCTTGATTCTTAAAAGTTTGTGACAGTGCTCCTTGCAGGTGTTCTGACTGTGACAGGGTGGAAACACCACCGGCCACACAAATCCTATTCTATTAATTTAAGTGACAAAAGCTGCCACTTACAGAACAAACGCAGCTCTAGTTTCAAGACCCAGCAGAAGTGTGTTAACTGATTGATTAGATGACTGCCCAGTTATAGAATAATGTGCTGAAGTCATGAAATATAGCAGGTGAATTCCCACCCTGGTCTGGACGTTGAGACACCCCACTGGCTGGGGCAGAGTGGGCACCTGATTGTTTAAGTATGCCCTGCTCCTAGACATAGGAAAACCTGCAGACTCCATCCAGGTTGGTGCACCTTTACCTACCTGGGAGCACTAGTAAGTTTTTCCAACATGATTTCCAAAAGGACCGCCTCCGGAAGACGGCATTTCCAGGAGTGACGCTAAAGCTTCCTAGGCGGTTTCGCGGGCACTGCAATGTCATTCCCAGAAGTACTACCTTCAGGAGGCGGGTCCTGGTGGGAATGATATCACAGTATGACAAGCACTGTCAGCGCACCTGCAGAAGGCACAGAACAGTGGGTAACAGCACAGCTGCACAGCTGCATGCACAGTGCACGACAGGCCACCTCCTGCTGTACCTGATTTCTTTGGTCTTCTTGAAGATAGGTTTTCCTTCCTTTTCCTCTCCAATATCAAAAAGGTCTGAATACAACTCCTTGTTCTTATGGTCCACCTGGAAGAGTGCACAGCGATCTGCATTCACCAGGTTTTTTGCATATATCTAAAGACAATAAAACAAGAGTAAGCCGATGAGAAATTCAAAGAATTTACAGGTAAACTTCATCAGAAATAAATATGAATTTCAGCTAATCTATACTCTAACTGGGTGGGAAATGAGCATTTTACACCAGGTGGTAAAATACCTGAACCACCCCATTGAGGTTAAGACATTAAAGTTAAAACAAGATGTATTATCATATAAGCACAGGAAAAGGTGTTCATTGTCACTGTCACCAGAGAAATGCCAATCAAAACCACAATGAGAGGCATTTCACACCCACTATGATGGCAGCATCAAAAGTTGGACAATAACCAGTGCTGGTGGGAATGTGGGGAACCTGGAGCCCATGGGCCCTGCTGGTGGGGATGTGGGGAACCTGGAGCCCATGGGCATTGCTGGTGGGGATGTGGGGAACCTGGAGCCCATGGGCACTGCTGGTGCGGAACCTGGAGCCCATGGGCACTGCTGGTGGGGATGTGGGGAACCTGGAGCCCATGGGCACTGTTGGTGCGGAACCTGGAGCCCATGGGCACTGCTGATGCGGAACCTGGAGCCCATGGGCACTGCTGGTGGGGATGCGGGGAACCTGGAGCCCATGGGCACTGCTGGTGGGGATGCGGGGAACCTGGAGCCCATGGGCACTGCTGGTAAGAATGTAAAACGGCGCCACTGCCATGGAAGACACTTTGGCTGCTCCTCAGAAAATTGAACACAGAATTACCACGTGACTCAGCAGTTCCTAAGTATATACTGAAAACAGGTATTCAAACAAAAAACTGTATACCAACATTCAAAGCATCACTCTACACATTAGCCAAAATGTGGAAACCGCCCACATGCCTATCAGTGCTGATGGATAAAAACGTGGCCTGTGGCTCTCCCCAGCAGCACACTGCTCGGCTATGAAAAAGGAAAAGGTACTGACCCACACTACAACCGGCAGACTCCGCAACACCCACTAAGTGCAAGGCACCAGCACCACAGAGGCCGCGCGCTACACGGTCCCTCCCAGGTGGGATGTCTAATAGAAAAAGAAAGCGGTGGTTTCTAGGGCCGGGAGGTGGAGGGGGGTGGGACATAAGGAGGTAAAGGGTAAAACACAGTGTGTTTCTGAGGTAATAAAAATGTTCAAAAAGTAACTGGTGATGTTGCTCATCTCTGGATTTACTAAAAACCACTGAATTGAACATGTGAAATTGACGAGTAGTATGGTCTGTGAATTATCTCAGTGAGGATGTTTTTAAAAACATGAAAAACATAAGGACTAGTCAGTGTTTCTTGTATTCCTAGTACAAGCTCTGTCAGTCTATATTATACATTTATATTTTTATATTTTCTTACTACTTTTCACTTCTTTACAAATTCCTTGAATTTTGTCATAACCAAGTTACTTTTTACCTTGCAATGAAGAATTCTTTTCATGTCCAAATGACACCATCACTATAACAAATTACATAAAGAAATGTGCTGAAAGCAAGAAGCCCTAAAGCTACTCTAACCACCCAGTCAACTTCCTGTCTCACTAGACACTGACCATGTCACCCCATACTCTCCTGCCCTGAAATTAGAGAAGCAGGTCAGACAGCATGAGGAAATCTGACACGAGGGAGCTCCTTATTCGACAGAGTGACTATATTTGGAGAAAGACTGGGAAAATGGGAAGGAGAAAGGCCATTTATCAAAACATACCACAGGCATGAATGGCCTGGCTACCTATGGGGCCCAGACAAGTCACTTGGACTATTGGAAGCCACTTCGTCAGTGGAATCTCACCAAAGCATCAAACAAAGCAGCCACACAGGGAGATGTGGGTAAAACTCCACTTTGTGTGGCTTTTGGCTCCTGATGTCAATTAGCAGACAAGAGTCATTAGGACTGAAACTAAGTAGAATGAACCTCAGCATCAGGAGACTCTCCTGGGAATTCCCAATACAGCCTCTATGTAAAGGTATTTTGAAGACTATAAAAAGAAACTAAATGTTTTTAAAGTATGTTTTCCAAGCTCACTTCCTAAAACCTTATTAAAAACCCTCCAAAATACACAGAAGTAACAACATCAAGGCAACAACCCTAATCACTTCTCATCCATTTAAAAGTTTGTATGTCTAACACATTAAAATGTTCCACCATATACTAGACATGAATCTAAGGTTAAATAAAAGCATTTTTAAAACAAAAGGCAACCTACCATTATGTGTTCAAGTAGAGAATCTATTGCGACTATGTTATCAAAGTATGTTCTGGAAAACAGGAGAAAACTGTGAGCAATCCGAGAGAACTCAGAGCAGGCAAATTCTGACTATACTTCCCAGTTTTGTCTACGTTGTAATAGAAACATAAAGCTGTATGTCTGATTTTTGTCATCTTGAGGAATAGTCAATAATATTATTTTAAAGAGATAAATGAAACTTCATTACTAACTTTAGTATAAGGGACTCTAATTCAGAGGATGCATTAAGTCACTATTTCATTGATAAGTACTGATGCCAGAAGTTTGTAGCATTTAACTAAAACTATGAAGGAATAAAGCTGGGTTCACCGCATTTAGTATTATCAGCAATAATTTTGATCTGAAATAAAAACATTTAAATTTGCTAAAGCTCATTAATATGGTTAAAATGTAAATTACCACTGAAAAGTTCACATGTGATTTAAATGTACTGAGAAAGCAACACCATTCATTTGAGAAAAAACATCAGAACACAAATAATGATAAGGACTTAATGACTTTACACAGTAAACTATATATTCATTAATATGAACAGCAAGTAGATATTTGGAGGTAGCTGGTATACATGTGAAAAGGTAAGCCTGATAAATAGGTGAATCCGTGGGCAGGTAGTGTAGGGTGTAGTGTGTAAAGAAGTGTCCTCAATGTGGACTAGTGGCTAGTGTGTTTTCAGCACAGGTTTGTGTAAATTCAGCAATATGCTCATAATTAAGATCACTTAGTAAGTAAACAATGTCTTTCATTTAAAGGCAAATTATTTAGCTTGAATGCTCTAAGGCATAGAACATGCTCACAGCCCTGCACCCTGAGGAATACACGGCGAGGAAGACAGCAAAGGAAGTGGATTTTCCCTGCAAAATGAACTGAAAGTGTCACATGAGGGACAGAACTGGACTTTGGAAAACTTACAAGAGGTTGAATTACATGAACAAGGGAAGGTGAGCAGCTTCCCTTTCTATGTGTTTTGAAACATCATGTGTCCCACAGCTATTGTTTCATTTTATCTCAAAGAAGATAGTTGGATTAGGGGATCGAAAGAGATCTCCTTCAATTTCATAATTCTCTAAATTTTATATTTAAGAATTAAGTGGAACACAAAGCAGCAACTTCTGACTATGAGTCATGGATGCTGAGAGGGAGCAGGTCCGAGCAGACACGTTCCTCCTGTGTGAGCTCAGAGGATGTGACCCTGACACACCTGCAGCAGTCTTCAGGTTTCAAGGTTAAGTACGTGGGTCAGATAACAGGTATTTCCCGGCCAAGCAGAACCATTGTGAACCCAGTGTTTCACTCAGTACCTGGACCTGCTTTCACTACCAGCCCAGAGTTTCTCCGGTCAAGCTTTGGGGCGATAGGACATTTTCTCTAAAACTGTATCTGAGCTACTATACACAGGAAAATTAAAATAATAATATTAACAATAGGTTTTAATTGAGTGACATTTGTAGAAAATGCCAGAGAGGACTCTTGGAAAAAAGTAAACTAGAACATTTCCTCCCTACTGCTGTTAGTTTTCTGCCACAAACCCAGAAACACCTGGTGTCTTTAACGGGTTCTAGTGGGTCTATTCAGAAAAACACAGCAAGCTGCAAATTAGAATCATCATATAAACACCTCCCATTCTTTACCTGCAGAGTGAGCACAGGTGAGAATGTACCTCTAGCTCTCACTGATGCCTGCAAGGTGAAGTCACCGGCTGTAGTGATGGCCCTGTCACTAACAGCTGACATCTCTAAAGTGAACACTTACTTTGATACGTCGAGTAGAAAGTCATTCAGTTCAGTCTGTTTGGCAAGGCCTCTGCATACCTGCCACATAAAATAAAGGCTATTCATTATAAGATATTTGTGCTTATTTAAAAGTAAAAATTCCACAATAGCATTGACCATATTTTATTTTAAAAGGTACAGCACAATCACTTGGTCTACAATATAATAACAGTATCAATTACAATTCATTTTTTTCCTTGAATGCTCAAATGCGCTAAGTACTTCCTATTTATTACTGCATTTGATCACCACAAACACTACGGGTTTGGGATTTACTTCTGTAATTCAGGCACAAAGGAATTTAGAACCTCCTTCAGGTCCCAGAGCCAGCAGAGAGCTCCTCAAAACCACTTTGCACTTAAAACCTGACTTGGGCACATCTTCTGCCCACATTGTCGCCTGTCAGAGCCCAGAAGTCCTGCTCCTCAGACTGTTTTCCTACACTTAGGATTTTTCTGTTTCTATCATATGGTTCCTCCTTAACCCTAGCTGGCTGAAGTGGACTTAGAGAAACAAAACAGCAACAAAAAGAAGTGGAAGATACGAAGCAGAACTGTCCCACTGTGTCCCTGAACTTTAAAGTATAGTTCCCAGGAAAACTGTAGAGCTTGTAAATTAGAGCATATTTTCTAGAGCAATAGGGATGTGAGATTTANCCCACTGTGTCCCTGAACTTTAAAGTATAGTTCCCAGGAAAACTGTGCAGCTTGTAAATTAGAGCATATTTTCTAGAGCAATAGGGATGTGAGATTTAAGACTTATTTTTCATGCATCATTTGGTGTAGAGGATGCTTTTACTCAGGAAAGGGAGTCATAAAAACATCAGTGTTACTGCCAGTAGGATATTGTTCCCGGGCTTTCAGGAGAAAACAAAAATCATAATAGGACACATACCCTTTATTGCATAAATGATAGACAACTATATATAAATATGTCAAAATATTGGCAAGATATTTCAAGGAGAAAGTAAGTAAATATAAGTGAATAGATAAAGAATTTTAGAGCCCGGCCAGGTGTGGCTCAGCGGTTGAGCGTTGACCTAGGATCCAGGCAACTGGGGTTCGATTCCCAGTCAGGGCACATGCCCGGTTGCGGGCTTGATCAATGACTCTCTCATCATTGATGTTTCTATCTCTCTCTCCCTCTCCTTTCCTCTCTCTGAAATCAATAAAGATATTTTTTTTTTAAAAAAATTTTAGAAATAAAATCTCTAAGACACAAACATAAAGCCTGAGGCTGCTTCTTCACCTGCCTCCATCCCGAGGCTGAGCTCTAGGCCCCTCTGCAGGAAGCCCCTGGAATACCCCCACTCACCTGCACCTGATGAATTGCGACTGAAGCCCAGGCAAGATTTGCTGTTGCCACCTAAAGCAGCAGCAAGAAAGACTGTTATTAACCACGTGCACCCCACCCCTCACAAAGGACTCTCGCATAAAAGTGTATAAAAAATTTTCTGAGGTCACTGCACTTTTGAATATTTTGCCAAAGAAAGCATCAACTATGGGCAAGATTTCTCTTTTACATTCCCCCTTCCTTTACAATTGAATTGAATGCTTCCTTGTTCCTCTTAATTTTGGATAAAAAGGAAAATAAATAGATTAAGAGAGCTAGAGTCCAATGATTTTAACATAAAATTATTTTTTAATTAAAAAATATTAAAAAGGCCTCCAATGACCTCTCAAATGATGAAATATTTCTAAAGCTTTGTTGAGAAGTTCTCAAGTTACAAACTATTCTACTCTTCTGTTATTTATTCCTTTAGCGAATATTAACTGGGTGCCCACTAGGTGCCAGGCACTGTTCTTGGTGCTGGAGACTGAGCACCAATGATCACAGAGCAGCTGACTGTGGGGGCAGAGAAGGGGGAGGAGAGTGAGTACACCGTGTGTCAGCTGGTGACAAGCTTAGAGAAAAGCACCCTGCAGAGGAAGCGGGCCTGCACACAGGGCGCAGGGAGGCCTCGTGAGAGGGCCACATCGGCAGCCGCTGCAGAGGGGCTGGAGATGGGAAGGACAAGGACACACAGGGCTCACACGGGGGGCCAGGCAGCCCTGCTGAAGGGACCAGACGGCTGTAGGAAGGGAGGGTGGCAGAGCAGGGCTGTGTCATCCAGGGCAGGGGACGGCCACTGAGGGACTGGGGCATATACTGCGTGTGCCAGGCATCACTAGTATTGATTTCAGTATTAATCAGGCAATTCCAACTCAGGGAACAGTGGACAGAACTCATTGTTTTCCGCATGGATTTGATGCTGGGACCTTTATTCCGGATGCACTCTAGGGAGATGACAATTTTAAGAAAACATAAAAACTACCAGACTGTGAAAACTCCCCAGAGTCATCTACTACTGTATTTGACTTACAATATGACACACTTTTATTTTTACTGTTAAAATGAATTCTTACTTAAAAAATGCCTATATTTCCAATTTAATCAGTCCCCTATCTAAATGACAGCAAAACAAAAAAAAGTTTTAAAAATCATTAGTATTAGTATAAAAACACTGTTAAGCAAATTGTGGTTTTAAGTATTCATTAATTTATTCACTGAACACTATTACTGAGCACCTTCAATGGGCCCAGTATAGCTACAGTCCGCCTAGCAGAGCAGCCTCACCTCTTGATGGCGCAGGCAGAAGGCTTCCTTGCCCCAGTGCCGGTACAGCTCAAGGATGCCCACCAGGTCGCCGATCGCAGTGACGATGGGCACACAGAGGACAGACTGGATCCGTGTCCCTGATTCCAGCCCAGTGCCTCTTGGAAATCGTTCATCCTGAAAAACAAAATGGGAAAAGATATCAATTCAGCAAAAGAAATGGAATAACGGACCTATGATTCTTACTTCTATAAGAAACTGCCTAATATTTGTAATCAACAATAAGCAGACCTTTTCAAGGAGAAACCAAATGAACATGGCCACTGTAAACATTAAGAAAACGCTTATCTTCAGCAATGCTGCACCTAAAGGCAAATCCCGCTTCAATATTTAACTGTTGAGCAGGATTTAATCAATATACATTAATTTCATGCAATAATAAAAATAATTATGGTGGCCAACATCTATTATTCATCACCTCCTATTGTGCCAGAACTTCTACAAGGGCCTTTTAAGCACAATGTGACAAGTGGAAACTGCTCCAAATGTAAATACCATATGAAGCAAATTATATATAAAATGTTTCTCTTCTATTCTGAAAATTAGGGTAACACAAAAGTGGATGTTAATGATAGTTATCTTAACTAAACCTCAAAACTGGTATTAAATATTCAAACCATACAATTGTCAATTTTTTATCACAAGAAATGGAATTGGTTCTTTGACTTCAATAATTTCCTAGCTTAGCAGAATCTCTCCTAAGAATATAGGGACCAAATGGATTAGTGTCAAACACCAATTCTATCTGCTCAATTTCCGCTGCCCGCAGGATGTTTTCCATAAACCTAGAAGAGCACTAATCTGTACTTAAAATTTACAGATCTTCTGAAAGTTTGCATACACAATAGAATATTTTCAAATGACAACTTATAGAGTATCTATTTTTAACCTTTCTAAGATTGAAACATTTGACATGTAACACTGTGCGGGTTCCAGGTTATACGCTGGTTTGGCACATGTATATACTGTGCTACGACTGCCACTGCCCCCTTTAGTCAGCACTTATTACATAAACCACCTTTTCTTGTGGTGGAATAATTAAGACCTAGTATGTTAGCAAGTGTGATAATTATAACACAGTATCATTGTCTATATTCACACTAGACAACATTTACTTTTAACCACTTTCCTTTTTTTTTAATAAAACTAGTCACCTGATTTGTTCAAGTCATACAGGTAATCAGAGGCAGAACCACAATTAAAACCCAGACTTCATAAGTCTAATTCAGTAATTTTCCAGAGCAAATGCATTACACCTGGAAAATTGTTTATATAGTTGTCACTTTTAAAGGCTAGGCTCACACAGTGACACTTTACCAGGACACTCACGTGCTGTGGGAGACCAAGGCTGCTCTGAGGGCTCCGTGTGGTCATGCCCCCTGCACCCATGCCCTTCCTCAGTTCCCTCCAAAACTGAACTTGGGCCTGCCCACGCTGTTTGCTCTGGCTAATGGGAGGGTAGAAAATTTGATGCGAGCATAGGCCAGAAGACCCACTGGCATGTCTGACTTCTTCTCTAGGCCCCCTGCTGCCACCATAAGAGCATGCAGGCTCCCTACTGGGGAGGTGGGGGAAACACATGTGGAAAGCTGAGGCCTTCTGAGACCAGCCAGCTCCTGGGTGGTGGTCAGCTGATGCCAGATGTGTAAGAAGCAACCAGCCAAACACACCCCAGATCAGCAGGAGGGCCCGGTGCACAGACTCATGGGACTAGCAGGCAGTTGCTGTGTAACACGGAAATTCGGGGTCGTCTGTCACACAGGAATGGCTATTCATTCATGTATATCCTGCTAGGATGTGAAGCACAGACAATTGCCATTTAGTCTGCATGAGGATAAACAGACATTTTTATGCTTCCCTATACTGGCACATGTTCAAATAAAAACTATTCAAATCTAACTCTTAGCAGATACATTGAAATATGGTTTCTAAGTACAAAGAATTTGTTTACTTGCAAATTCATTTACTGGCTGTGTCTTGCTTTAATAAAATGGCTTAAATTATAACACCAACATGATAAGTCATCTCTCTTAATTAAACACTTCAGATGACAACGGCACAAAGAGTGAAAAGCCACATACCCCGAGGATGTCTTCCACAAGCAGAGTCTTCCTAGACTTGGCCACGTAGGCAGAGGTGGTAGTGCCCTGTGCAATGGGGCCTGCAGGGATGAGCCGGGGCTTTCCTTCCTTGATTCCAGGGGGAGTGAACACGCACAGGCTCTGGCAAGAAGAAAGAAATGCTTTGTAGACTTCCCTGCACAGTGGCCCCCTGGGACAGAGACTCCTGGGTGTTACAGAAGAGTCCCGAAAGTCAGGGCACCAAGGAGGAGCAGACAGGAGAGGGGAAAGTGCTCAAGGGTCAGCCTGCAGTGAGGTGAAACTCTCACATCCTCATGCACACAGAATAATTGGATTGCTGTGACTTAAAAGCTGAAGACTTTCTGGAGCAATAAGCACTAGACCATCCTCTTAGGCATGTTCCTGTTAGTTCCTGCCATTCCTAAGTGAGCTCTGGTAAACACAGTGTGTATCTATTAACTTATTAGTTGAGTGGTTTTCAAGCTTTGTGATGTCAAAGAACCCTTTTTTCAAACAAAACCTTACTTATAATCACAAGAAAGTGAGCCTTATACACCTGAACTCCTTCAACCAACTGGGACCGGGCCCAGGAAAGCAGTGTGCGTGCTCCCCTGGGTGTTTAAACAAATCATCCTTTCAAGAGAAGCATCCTTTTCACTCACAAGAGTATCTACATCAGTTATAGGACAGTGGGTACGTAGTATTTGCTACTGAGTACATGCCAGTGAAAATATATGTGAAGTGTTTCTATAATTCTATTCTGCACCGATTTACACACAGCACAGATGAAGAAAGACCTCTGTTAGGATTAGCATCTCACTGTCCCAGTACAATTCAGTGTGTACTAAGGCTGGGAGGAAAGCAGAAAAATGAATCAAGAACAGGAAGAGAGATGATGTCAAGACAAAAATGTAAAGGATATGGTATATTTAGCTTGAAGATAAATTGGAATGAACGATGATTTTCTCAAACCATGAGGAGGTTAATCATGAGGAGGATGTTGGGCAGTGTTCCCTTCTCTACCAAAGACAGACTGCAGGAAATGAACTCCAAGTGAACTGAGCAGTGCAGATAGCTTTTGAAGAGCTTCCCGTGACAGAGGGAAGTAAACTCCAGAGCAAGCTCCCAGCAGCAGCTTTTCTATTTATTATTATAGTTGTTGACTTTGTTGCTGGAATATATACAACACATCTTTTTTGAATGACTTTGCTATATGCCCATTAAAATTGGATTTAATAACTCCAAGTTATACTTAGAATCAGAATTCAATGATAGGAGAGCTGATACAGTCCTATATTATTAGATCATTTAATTAGATCACTTATTTAATATTATAAAGCATTTATCATCTCTATATGGAGTTTCTATATGATGCACAAAATCAGGTGAGCAGGTACAGGACCCAGTGCATATGAAAAACTGTTCTACGCATCAGGCTGAAAATAAATGGCTTACAAGTCTTTCAATCACTTGACTGAATCTGAAAAACTTTCTCTTTGTTGATAATTATCAAAAAATTAAATAATTCTTTACAGTGGAAACTTCATACTTGTTTTACTAATTAACTCATGGTTTTTTATCTTAATTAGCAAACAGAAATATTTCCAGATGAGAACTGAGGGTAAGAGCTATCAAAATATGAAATAATGTCACACTGTAATATAAAGGCCAAATCAGGAAGGAGCAGAAACAAGGACCTGTAAGACAGGCACCTGCTTCTGATATGCCTCACATTTGCTCCTCTGTGTTAGTAGTTTCCTACACTATTTTAGGATTTTTGTTTTTACTCCATAAAATTCCCCTGTGTAAAACTCCCTTCAGGATGCCCACTGCTGGTAGAAGGTCAGTCCCTGGTTTGCACTGTGTGGTCTCTAAGTCACAATTTTATGATCTCTGTAGTTGAAGGGGATGGCAGGCAGCTATCATTGCAAACAGAAAACCTCAGTAACAAACCTCTGAACTCTATATGCATTCAGGGGTGGGGAAGCTCGTTAAATGCACCTTTACTTATCCCCTGGGAATAATCAAGTAGACAGTGTGTACTGAAGTCTTCTTTCCCCACTGCTTCACCTGCATCATACACTAAATGCCCCCATACACCAGAGTCTGTTTCTGAACTCTCTAGTCAGTACCCTCTGGCTGATTTGCCAGCCACACTGTTTTCAATCCTGCAAGTTTATAGTACATTTAGTAATCTGGCAAGGTGAGTCTTGCTTTGGTTCTAAATGTTTGAATATAACCATGATTCATTTTATAAGATATATGTTGCATTTGGACGGATGAAGGCCTGCATTGATGCATGAAGAAATGGGGCAATGTAGCTCTGAAGAAACTTACAAAGAAAATAAGAACCTTATTTTTCAAAATCAATCATGATTTTTGACATAAGGATCTGACTGGGATGTCCAGATTAATAAGATAAAAAATATTATAGTCACTATTTTCATAAAGGGTGAATGAAAACTGCTCTTTATGAAAAAAACACTACCCAATATTTTAGAATGTACTGTGACTACTCTGTGCATATGCTTACAATATCTAATTTGCCACTAAAATCTAGCATTGAATTGAGTCTCTAAAACTGATGGCTGCTCTAATGTTGTATAAATCTAAGAAATAAAAGTTTATTAGCATAAACATTTTTCAGAGGCTAGAGATAAAAACTAAAAGCAAGGAAGAGGTTCGAAGACTCGAACCTCAACACTCCACCCTCCAGGGGAGACATTTCCCCCTCACCACTCCAGTGTCCAGGGGAGACGTTTCCCCCTCGCCACTCCACAGTGTCCAGGGGAGACGTTTCCCCCTCATCACTCCAGTGTCCGGGGGAGATGTTTCCCCCTCGCCACTCCAGTGTCCGGGGGAGACGTTTCCTCCTCGCCACTCCAGTGTCCGGGGGAGACGTTTCCCCCTCGCCACTCCAGTGTCCGGGGGAGACGTTTCCCCCTCGCCACTCCACCCTGCCAGGGGTGACGTTTACTGCACTCGAGAGGTAAGCGACCTGACCAATGGTGCTGCAGTTCTCCTTCCTGCTGGAGGCTCTGCAGTGACGGACTGTTAGCCCCTCATCTCCAACAGTACCAAGGGACAGGCCACGCAGTGCAGCTGAATTCGCTTTTCAGTTTTTCAAAGAAACTCATGTGAACTAGTCAGCATTTTATAATAACAACAAATGTTCATTCGTATTTTTTAAGTTAGGTAACTTGAACTGGACAAGAGCGGTAACAGTGGTAACATCCAGTAGGTTGGCTCAGTGAAGAAATAAAAGAGCATTCAAATTATAAAAGAGCAAATTTGAAAAAAAAAGATTTGGTGGAAAACAGAATAGACTACCACAATTTGTTTTAAAAACCTAATTTTTTAATGAAATGGGAATGTGTGATTCATTAACATCAACTAAATAGACAACTGGGCTTCCCCTGGTGAACGCTTGTTGTCACCTTTCTTACCACACACAATTCAAAGATCAACTTAGTAATGAAACTTCACTTTTATGTTGAGGCTTTAACTCACAATCAGTTAAGTTTCAGAAATACTTTTTAGATGAAAATTATTTAGGTGCGCCATTATTTTTCCTACCAGACACTAGGTGGCGCTAGGTAGTAAATGAACTTCGGTCCATGCAGCCGGCGTGAGCAGGCAGCCCCACGTCTACCTGGAACTCGAAGGAGATGAATAACTTTGTTTGCATAGTTCTTAAAAATAAATCTACTGAAATTTATTGTACAACTGAAAAAGTCACACAATTACTGTAAGCAACTGGTTCTAAACTGTCTTCTAAAACCAACATGTGAAAAGCTATCTATGAACTTTACATATTAAATTTTTTTAAGTATTATTAGAGTCTACAAGGTGTTCAGCTTTTACATACAGCTCATGGATAACACAAGAAAATTAATGATAACATCATAAAGTGTGTTGCAGACCAATCAGCTGGAGTATGTGAGTAAGTATGAAAGAGAAAAACTAAAAACAAAAGTTTAGGCAAGATCTTAATTGTGGAAACAGTTGTTTTCTGTTTGACAAGCATTTCCAGAGAACCTGTCACAGTTACATGTTAGATGCTACTCTGGGCCGGGACAGAGAGGTACCTGCTTCCTTTCCAAGCTCCCAATTCCTCACAAATTGCTTCTTCCTCCTAAAAGTCCTTCACTGTCCCATCTTATCTACTGAGAGGTCTTCCAAGCTCTGCTCAAACAGGGCTAATCTTCCCAGCTACTTTCAATGTGATCTGCCCCAGCACCCTCATCAAACGCAGGATCCCGGAGCACCTAGGGCTCCTCCCTGATTGCTCTGACTACCATAATTTAGTGTGGATTTCTCTATTTCCCCTACTGGTTGTACATTCTTTGGTGGCAGAAAGGATTTGTTATTTATCTTTGTACACTCTGCAATTTAGCACAGTTTTGGGTACATAGCAGGTGTTTAAAATGGTTGAATAACATTCATGATACAACATTTAAGCAATGGAGGTTAACTTCTAGAAAGTTTAAGACTCTTGTCAAAGTCACAAAGTAGTGAACTGCACTCACACAATCTGACTCGAGCATCAAACTCCTGTGAAAAGCTATTTAAACACAGTGTTGAATGAATGTCCTACTACTTTTTAGAAAAGCATTATTTTAACACTTCTCAATTTCTTTTCTTTACTGGTCAACTAGGATTTTTATCATTGTTTGCATTAAATGGAGCAACTTATACTTCCTTTGATAACTGTCCATTTTATTTAGATTTTCACTTTTATTAGTCCAAATATCCTCTCATAATTTGTCCTTTTCACTATATCTATTGTTTTACTATTTTTAAAATTATTAGGGATATATAATTGTGTTTTCTCTTTTTTGTTTGGTTAGCAATGGCTTATCTTTAAAGTACTTAGATCTCCTTGTATATATAGATTTTCTTTTTCTGCATCATCAGGTAAACTGGTCGATCCCAAGAGGCAGGGGTTTTCATTTCCAACCGTGCTTCTGGTACCCAGAACACTGTCATGTGATCGAGACAATAAAACTGTGTCCGACTAATAAACTCACTCATTTTTGTTCTCTTATTTATTGATGTTCCAAAATGTATATAAAATGTTTAAGAATGTGAATCTTCCACTGCTAAGAACTTTGTACACGGCTTCAGCAACATTTAAGTCATTTTCATCAACACTGTTCTCTAAACATTCCATTAACTGTATTTGATATTTTTCTTTGTTCAAAGAGCTACTTGACACATTGTTCATGTTTAAGTATCAAGGTTTAATTTCCTTGTTTTCAGCCCCTATGGGGACCTGAGTTTGTTAAATGGGGGCTAAATGTATCAAAGTAGGACATGACCTCAAGAGAGGGAACCCCAGGCTGGTAAATCCTAAAATAATATACTGAGTTGAGCACTTAATTTTTTTGATCTGTCAGTAACTAAAAATACTACTGCATTTTCTGTCCATTTTCTTCTGTGTGACTGTATTGCTTTATAAATTTCAATGTACAAATATTTATTGTATAAACTTCAGGAGAACCCAACCTTCATTGCAGATTAAGCCCCTCAGGAATCAGGTAACCTCCTTTTCTAAGTTAGAGCTTTTCTTCCCTAAATTTGACTTTGTTATTGATCCTGTGGCACGAGCTCTCTTTAGTCTGCATCTTTCTGGAGTAGGTTTGCTCCAATTAAAATTTCCTTTTTAATTTAGTTCCCAGTGACTCTGTTTATATGTCCCTCTATAAAACAGAAGAAAGCTGTGGGGTTTTTTAACCTGATTTATAATTGTTTTTCTTTTAATAGGTGGACCTATTCTACTTGTAATTTTGTTGTGACATTTATTATGAGTTTCATAATCATACTTGATTTTTCTTAGTCTTAGTGCTTTAATACTATTTGGTTTGTTTTCTGTAACTTTCTGTGTTTTCTTTAAATTTTTCCTCTCTGATAATATTAATGCTCATTTTTAATTCTACTAGTGGAACTTTTGATATATTTAAATATTATTTAAAATTATGTTTCTCAATACATTAATCTCAGAAAATTAATTATTTCTACTCATTCTCATTCATGAAAAAAAGAAATGAATACTTTTATAAGTATAAGAATTTTATAATTCCTTCCATCTCTACCTTAATCCATGGCATTTATTGATCTAGACTAAAAATTGTATCTAGGTGTATTTAGGCTGCATATTGTAATTTTGTCACTAAAGCACATACATTTTGTTTTGAAAGTTATTTAAGAAAAGCTTTCCAACTAGGATTCAAAATCCATAGGTAATTTTTAAAAACATTGATAAATATATATAATATGCTTTCAAGTACAAAAGGAAAAAATGTGAGAAAATATACATGCATCTGCTCATCTGTCCAGAACAGTGTTTTATTTTCTTTTAGGGGCTAGTTTACACAGAAGTATGTCAGCATCTGTTGCAAGCAATGTGGCAGATTAGATAATTTGACACTCCTGAAAAAAACTATTTTAAAGTTATTTAAAGGCTAGGTAAAGTGTCATTTACAAATCTTTTATAATAAATTGCTGGGCTGAGAGGATAGAAGAATCCACTAATATCTAAAAGGAAGCATGGACAGGAAGTCTGCAGTATGCAAACCCCAAACCTGAAAGTATCAACCAAAGCCTGGTACTCTGATGTCTCCTCAGGAAAGCGCATGGTGACTGGGAGACAACAGGCAAAACCTGGGGCCTCTCACCATGGGAAGCTAACAGGAGAGCCCTGCAGGGGGCCAGGACTAGCAAAGGGCGGTCCCCTGCCTGAGGCTGAAGGATGAACACACTCACAGCCACAAGGGCTCTACAAGGGGACCGGAGCATCTAGGATTCGCTGCTGGAGGGAGAATAAGTCTCCTCTGAGAAGCCACAACTGTGCATCACCTGGTTTGAGGCTGGAATGTAAACCACTCTGCAGTCCACAAAAACTCAATTAGATAATTTAATTAAAATAATCTTAGATTGGCCAAGCCTTCCTCAGGTGATTGGCAAAAACAAATACAGATCCTCTAGGAAAGGAACTTCAACACAGACTCAGAATATTCACTGTAAAAAGGCCAAGGAATAACGTGATTCAGTTAAAAAAGGGAAACATGAAACATGTGCGAAAATAAGCCACCATCTATGAACGAGGGAAGAAAAAAGCCAGGAACCTGTAAACTCAGAAAGAATATAAAACAATATAAAAAGATGTAGTTCATCTACTTCAAGAAATAAAAGATAAGCCCCAGGAATGAAAAACTGTAATGAACGACTGAGACAAAGTGAAAACCACCAAAGTAAACAAAGTATAGTCAATATACAGAGAAATAATATATATCAATCTCAACCCTTTACGTAGCAAAAGAATCTTAAAGAAAGTGGTGAAATAGAGACATATTCAGACATAGCCTGACTTTCCCATCACAGATTCTTGTTAAGGGAAATCCTATAGGACCGAGGAGAAAGGATTCCAAATAGGCAAGCTGAGATGTACAAGGACATAAGCAAGAAGTGGTAGTTATGGATACATCTAGAGAAACACTTCAGAGAACTTCAAACTGTGTGTCTACTTCCTGCCCACAGAAATGCCAGTCTGATGAACAGTAAGGGCCTCGCTACCCACGTGTGAGTGTAAAAACACAATCAACAAAATACAGTAACTATCCCCTGAAATTATCTTCCCAGGGAGATATGGTCTCTGCCTCCATGAAGCTTACCTTGCAGTGAAGCCAGATAAGCAAATTATCACACAAATCACAGATAAACGTGTAATGATGGACTGGGCAAATTCTGGGTACAGGTACGTGACATTAAGAAAGTATAACAGCGGAATCCGACTCAGGAAGGCCAGAGAAGCTACAGTTTGGCTGTGACCCCTGCTGCTATACCCAGGGTCACACTGTGGCACGCAGCAGCTGCTGTCCCTGGGGCATGGGGAAGAGAGGTGCGAGGCTCAGCGACCAAGAGAGAACATAGAGCACAACAGCTGACCTCAGGAGTTTAATGAAGGGGCCAGAGGAAGGAGGAGAGGACATGAGGTCATCCCCTGGGTTAAGTTACAAACGTGGATGACAAGTAACAGTGAGAGATTCTAACTGACATACATAGTATCACAGCTCAGCTATTACACAAAGCTTTTCCTAAATCATATACAGGAAGCTACTTCACCCACGTCAATGTATAAAAAAAGTCTACAAACAAAGTGGAAAGCACAGCCACGTGATCAAGAATGTGGGATCTGAATCTCAATCCGAGCTCTGAGAGTCCTGCCCTCCTGAGGCGCCCATCCCCTCTCTGCTCTGCTAACTAGGTCTCCCCACTGCCCTTCACTATTACACTGAGATAATATACATGGCAGTAAATTATAAGAATAAATGCAAATTATGTAAGAATTTTCTTAAAGGAATTCTTATTTTTTAATTAAAAAATCCCAAAATTTTATAAATATTTAGAACGAAGAGAAAATAGATCTATTTGTTACCGTGGTACCTTCGCCATCTTCAAGTACCACCAGTGTGGGAAATACAGAGCATTCAGAAGCAGCAGTAACATCTGAATAATTCAATTTAATAAACCCTCTGGTGTGACTGTTTATATAACCGGTACTAGAAGAGAAGCTGGGTGAACACAGAAACAAGTAAGGAAAGGTCCTGCCCTGAAGACCTCCAGTCCTGCAACAGTCACTGCAAAGCAGAGAAGGCAGGGCTGAGGGCATGCAAGGGACCACCTACAAGGTATGGAATCCAGCAGTGGACGCTGTGTGCACCTCCCTTCCCTGCCTGCGCCACTCTACATCCACACAACTACGAAAACCTCAGAATACTGTGTCTCTGCTCCCATGAACATTTTATATAATATGAAGAGCATATAAACCTAAATATTGCACTGCAAAAATGCATCCCAAATCTCAAGTTACAAGGCCTGACAAGCAAGAAATACACAGTAAGAGTTTGCCAAATAAAGTTATAACTGAGTTTTATATATTTACACTATGAACATAAGTGTCATTGGCTCAGAATATCATTCTAAAGTATGTATGTGTGTTTAATGCCATAACAACATTGAAAGATGGGTAACTGAACGTCCTGCAAAGGCTGCACTGGACAGTGGGCTGCACTCTACACCAGGTAAACCAGCAACTCCAGCTGACCTGGACCACTGAAGGAAGGCAGGGCAGGCACACCTGAGGGGCCGCCATGCAAAGGTCTGACCCTCAGCCACCACAGCTCAGGGAGTTACTTCTTAGTAACTCTGTCCCAGAACTTTGAGTCCTCTTCAAAAATCTAAAAAAAAAATCCCAATTTATTTTACTTATTTTTAAAATATTTTTTAGTGATTTTTAAATTTTTATTATTATTATTATTTTTTTAGAGAGAGAGGAAGGGAGGAGAGAGAGAAACACTGATATGAGAGAGAATCATTGATGGGTTGCCTCCTGCACACCCCCTACTGGGGATCAAGCCTGAAACCTGGGCATGTGTCCTGACCAGGAATTGAACCTGCAACTTTTCATTGCACAGGATGATGCCCAATCAACTAAGCCACACTGGCCAGGGCAAAATAAAATAAAAAATCACATTTTAGAACTGCTAAAATTTTGTTCTTATTTCATTCTACTACAGATTGTGTGTAGAAAGGGCAAAGACTGTCCACAGTGATGAAATAAACAAAATGGTAAATCTAGAAATGCCATTTGTAAGATAGAGTACCACAAACCAAAACAATCCATCAGTTATAAGATTTTATGCCTAAATGTTGCCATGTTGGTAAAATTCTTGGCTGGTAATAACCACATATAGAAACAAATTACAAGATGAGTTTAAAGTACTTAATTACAATATGTCTATTAAGTTGTTAATGTAACAGTTTATCTTTTCTAAAAAGCTTATGACATTTTCTTAACTAGAACACCAAAATCTAAGTTTAGATACTTACATTATTGCACTCTCCAAGGAAATACAGTGCAAATCCGTCTGCTTTCGTGGCTGCCAAGGTAATAAAAGAGGAAGAAACTGATCTGAACAGAAGAACACAACACGCATGAGTTCTCCAAGGTGAGACCCAGAATTGTGACTTTTCGACGGATTTGCTGACATAATTAAAGGTCATGCAGTAAATTGAACAAAATTTATGGCTTTACTCAATTACATAATGTTCATTCATTTTCATCAGCTATTGCAAATTTTAAGGTGTAACATCCTCAAATCATATAGAGGTCAGTGCACTTACTACGTAGTAACATATTTGTCAAACTTTAAAATCAGAATTACTGAAAAACATTTTTAAAATGAGAATTGTATTTAATTTTTAAAGTATTAAAAACTATTAGAATTGATATTCATAATATTGAATAACCAATATAAGCATCAACCAAAAAGAATTCTGCTTGCATCTACCTATCGCCCCAGAGGAGAACAGGATTTAGCTTCTCTAACATTGCTCCAGGGCTGGCTGAGGCAAATGCCTAGCAGTTAACAGATGTCTCAGAGGAATCACCTGAATTTAACCAGCTTAACTCCTTCCCGCCTATGTGGCCTTGGGGAAGGTATCTGCCTGTCTCTGCCACAGCTTTCTCATCAGTAAGATGAGGATAATAGTATATAAAGTTGTCATCTCCCCAAATAAAATAAAGTGCTTCTTCTTCCTTAAAATTAATGATTCCTTGTATAAATGTGATTTAGTTCAGTAAGACTGTAAGAAGAAACCCAGGTTTTAATTAGAAGGTATAGTATATTCCACTTAAACTTCAGGCAGCTGCTTTTTTTGGAATTCTCATACTTTCGTATTAAAATATTTTCACTTCAAACTTAGCCCAAGAATAGAAATAAATAAATGACTTTCATTTGCCTCTTAGAAAGTACATTATTTTTTCCATTTTCTGCAATGAAATAAAAGAATCTCTGGCTCAGTTTTCTCACCTATTTTAATGATGCTACTCAGTTCATACAGCAGCAGCTGGTTGTCTCCACCTGTGTCCAGTCGCTGTTCTATGTAGCTGTTCAGTTCATACACAACTCCCTGCATGTTCGTATCTTGGTACTTTGAATTAAAAAAAAGGGGGGGGGCATAATTAAATATAATAAAAATTCCTTAGTTTGTAAAACATACCTCTCTCTCTCTGTGATTTTATATACTAGCTGTTCATTATCCTTTTATAGAGCATGACTTAACATATTCCACTATAAAATAGATTGCCAAGTAAAACTGCTATGACTTCCTTAAAAATATCCATAGACTCTATGCACACCTATTTATATTAAATATCAAATGCTACAAATTACAGCTGTGTTCCTAACGTTTTATATATAATGTAGCAGGCAACTTGATCAGTAAAAATAGCATAAAATTTCACTTAGTGAAACATCCTAAGATGCTAGAAAAGTCAACCTTATGTACTGCACTGGGGAAGACCAAGTGCATCCCTGTCCCGTCCTTTGCATCAATGTGGCTACCACCCTAGTCGCACCCCAACTCTGCCACCAGAACAGAGCCGGAGGCTCACACTGTCACAGCCACTGTGGTCACAGCAGTCCCACAGCAGGTCTAGCCACTGGGCTTCATCCAGATACCAGGGATGCTGCAGCAGGCGGATAGGGTCTGAGAAGGTGGCAGCTGAATCCCAGCACAAGCAACATTGGATCTTGTGTAAAATTACTGAAAAGCAGTCTTCTAACATTAGCTTCCCTGCACTTGAGCTCACCTTCCCAGGCCTCTTCTCCAAACACCAGCCATGGGGAACTTGAGAAATAAAATGAAATTGTCACTACTGGCTTCCAAAACTGCCTGAGCTTCCCTCTGCACTTAAGAGTAACAGGCAAATTGCTCAGGATGGCCTCCTCCATACACAATGCAGGTAGTTTCTGCCTCAGAAACGGTCTCTCAAGCCACAAGCCACCTCTCTCTTTCTTGACCTCCCAGATACCTTTTGCTCCTGAAGGCCTGCCTGCTGTTTTTCCGAGTACCGTTCTCAATAAACATATGGGGAATGAATGCATAAACAAAAGAGTGGATGAACCAGTCACCAGGCCACAACTATATACCGGCGATCCCGACAGCCTGTTCCACGTGGGCACTCTCACAGGCACACGAGCGAGTGAATGAGATGGAATCCCTGTCCTGAGGAAGCTGACACTGGCGGAGGAGGGGCAACTGCATGGTGTGGCAGGGGCCACAGGCACAATGCACAACGGGGTGCCGGACTCTTTACAGGCGACCAGGGAAGGCAGGCTCAGTGGCATGGGACATATGGACGGATACCACTGGAGCCTCATACCCAGTTGAGCCTCATACCCAGGAGGGGCCTGCTGGTCACCCCCCAGCTTTCTGTGCTTCTGACCTGTGAGGGACTCAAGTGCAGGCACCTCAGAAAATTCCTGTAGAGGACAACTTGCGGGAATGGGACGTTCAACACACGCCACAGAGCAGGGTGACATCTGAACAAACGATGAGGCTGGAACTTCGGGGGCTGGTGCAGGGCAGAGCTAGGGTAACGTTGGACAAGGCATTCTGATGCGGCCGCACTAAGCAGAAACACTGGCTTCCGTGTGCCTGTTGTCCAGTGGGCTGAGAGCCGGTCCCCAAAGTGGCTGACACTATATGCAGCTGAAACACCAGAGCTCCCTAAGCATATTCCAGTCTCAGCCAGGTTGCAATGCACAGTGGATTTACTCAGTGAGACCTGTCTACCCAGCCCCCATCCATGTCCCACACAGGTCTGTAACCAAGGCGTGAGATGTGCATTCCTGAGGCCACTGGCCTATGTGCAGGGCTCCATGGAGAGGGCCAGGGAGGACTGTGGGAACTAGTGCCCCCAACAGGCTGCCCTGAATTCACCAAAGGCGGGCCTGCCATCAGCATGGCCTGCAGCAGGGAGCGCCAGCACTGACTTCCTGGTGCAGGATTCCCGCTGTCTTCTCATCCATCTAAGCAGGAGTCTGGGCTAAGTGAACATGGATCTCACAGCCATCACAGCAGCATCTCAAAGCACCTCCATGAGGTACTGATGGGTGACCCTGAATAAGGAAGGGGAGACCCTGTCCTCTGAGGAAGGATCTGAACCCATGGCCCAGTGTCTAGTGAGATCTTCCCCTCTCCCCGGATGGCGACCTGCACTGGGCAAGTGCTCTGGGTGCAGGGAAATGGGCAGACGTTGGGGGACCATTAGGCCTCAGCCTCACACAGACACTGTTGTCAGAGACCCACACACCTCTACCAGGACCAGTCCCATGGGCTTGTGGACACCAGGTGAGCAGTAAGCTTTAATTCGGGTCTATCTCAACAGTGAGCCCCAGCAGGTTCTCAAGCTCCTGCTGTAATTACAGTTTTAGATACACATTTGGAACTCACAGTCTCAAAATCCGGCAGGATCCCACTGAAGGGCCCCTACCTTGGAAAGGGGTGAGGAAGGGAGGTTTACAGAAATCTGGGGAGCAGCTCTCCAAGCAGAGAGAACAGAAATTGGGCCTTTACTGAGACCTGTGTGCAGTGCCGAGATTAATGGCTAGGTGTCCACCATCTCCTTTGGACGGAAATGTTTTCACACACAAGTGAGAACCAGAGACACCTGGGATATGGGCAGTTTATCATAAGGTTTCCTTAACCACATCTCTGGATTTTAGTTTTCTCATTTGTATAACAAGAAGGTTGGAATGCATGGTCTTTAAAATACCTTGCAACACTAGCAATGATAATCTATGGCCTATTTTTTTTTAATTTATCTTTATTGTTGAAAGTATTACCGATGTCCCCCTTTTTCCCCTATTGACCACCTCCACCCCAAATTCATCCCTCCGCTCCAGGCCTTCCCCACACTCTTGTCTGTGTCCTTGGATTATGCATATATGCATATAAGTTGTTTGATTAGTCTATCCCTACCCACTCCCCCACCCCCACCTTCCCTCTGAGATTCCTCAGTCTGTTCCATGCTTCTATGGCTCTGGATTTATTTGTTCATCAGTTTATTTTAGGATTTTGTGTTGTTGTTTAAGCTCAAATTCTAATCTTTAACCTAATGGTTGGGTTAGTGCACCCTGAATCCTGTGATTATTAATGACAACTGCATAAATATCATCAGAGCAATGTTTTATTAGAATTACTATTCATACTAATGTAATATTAACTCTCAAATACTAAAGGCCTATCTACACGGTGGATCATTTGAGCCATAATACACATACTGTAACACTCAGAATTATATATATAGATGTGAAATAATGAACCTCTGCTACTGCTGAGTATGGCTGTGAGAGGAGAGGCAGAGATAACAAATGGAGATAAATACAAACCATGCACTTCTAAGATGCTCTTATGAAAATAGCATAATTCAGTTCAGTTACATAAACTTTCAATTCTGTGGCATGAGTAACAGAAACTTACCACAGTATATTAATAAGGTTGTTGAGAACGTGTATTTTCAAAGCATTATTTAGTTTTTAATTAAATGTATTGGGTGGTGGTGTTTAATCAGATTATGTAGACGTCAAGTGCACATCTCTATGGTCTTTCTACTACACCGTGTGCACCACCACGTATTTAACCCTTTACCCTCAATACCCTCCACCCCCTTCCTCTGGGAGCCACCACACTATTGTCATGTCTATGAGCTTTTGTTTGTTTTTAACTTCACAAAGTCCTTTTGCTGCGTTTAATACATGTAAGAACCCATATAAAGTATATACTGAGAACCACTCAACATGCCTAACTCAACATGAATGAACTAGCAACACACCACTCCTTAAGCCTTAGGATGGAACTAGACGCCGAGACCCTCACTTCTGTTCCACACTGACTCACGCAACCCTTGCGGTTCATCAGAACTACCACTGAGAACAGGGACTTGCAGATACGACTTCATCAAAAGGACTGGAGTAGTGTAACATTAATACTGTGAGCCCCAGCACACTGTCAATTCACCCCATGAGTTTGCTATGGTGCCTCAGGACATTTGGAAGTGTGAGCCAGGAAACAGCCTCTCTGTCACCCAGAAGGAAATCGCATTTTGTGAGGCACATGGCAGTCCAGGGTGTAGAAAGAAAGTGGGGAGCTGGTCTCACAGACCTGGTAAAGTGAACTAGGTATTTAATGTGGATTGTAAAGCACTCACCAGAAGAGCTTAGAGCAAAGCCAGAATGAGCAGCAGCTTGAATGAGACAGAGACCATTGTCTGTCAGCCCAGAGAACCCAGGCTCTGAGGCATCACTGACTCATCTTGAAGGCTATAGCAATAAACTAGCAAACCTAGTGAGATGGTGTTAAGGCAAATCAATACTTAACACACAAAATAGCCCTTGGTTGTTAGTAGAAACCTCAGTCTTTGAATAGGAGCGTCTCATCATTGTTTAAATTTTTCCTGTATTTGTCTTTTTCTATAACATTTTATGTTGACATTATTTCACACTTACAGAAAACTGCAAGAAAGGACAGGAAACTCCTGCATGCCATCAGTTATTTACATTTTGTCCTATCTGCTTTATCATTCTCTCAATAAGCCAGCCTTCCTTTCTTCCTTCCCTCCCTCCTTTCTTCCTTCCCTCCCTTCTCCCCTCCCTCCCTCCTTTTTTTCTATTATGCCTTTTAAAGCAACACTCCACAGAACATTAGTCTGCAGTCTGCTGCCTACGATTTCCCTCATCTCACTCTCCAGCTCTTCCTCATTGTTCCAGTGACACAGCTCTTACTCAGGTCACCACCGACTTCCATGCTGCCAAACCCAAAAGCCAGTGCTCGTTCAGTCCCTGTCCTCTCCCTGGGCACACTGGCAGCATCTGACACAGCCAAGGACGCCCTTCCTGGAGTGTTTCTCCACCCTAGACTCGTGTCCCCTGCTTCTCCTCCTGCCTCCTAGACACATCCTCTCAGCTTTCTCTGAAAGCCTCCCTCCCAGCTCAGACTTCTCACGTCACATCCCAAGACTGTCTCTGGACTTTTTCTCTTCTCTTCCAACCACTCACTTCCCAGGTGATCTCATTTGACCTCAGTACTTACATACCCGCTATATATTTATGACTCTTAAATCACCCACATTACTAAAATTTTTCAAATTTATGTCTCTAAATCACATAATTCCCCTAAGGTCAACTCGTAATCCAGCCAACTACTTAGCATCTCTATTTAAACATCTGTGAAGTATCTCAAACTTAGCACATCCTACATCGAGTACCTACCTGAGTGACCTGCTCCTCCTGCAAACACACTCATCCAAGTAATGGCCACCCATTCTTCCATCTGTTAGGCAAAACCCTGATGCCATCATTTCTCCTCTCTTTGTTTTGTTACACCACACATCCAATTAATCAGCAACTCCTATCAACTTCACCTCCCAGATACAAGTAGAATTCCATCTACAACAAGGACTTTCCCCACCTCCGGATCACCTTCCAGTCCCAGTCATCCTCATCACTAACAGGCTCACTGCATTGGCCAAATGCTCTAGTTTCTGTGTCAGGAATAAAACTTCTAAACACATAAAGACAATCAGCCTATGAACAATCAGAAACAATCTAAAGATCTAACAACAGAATGAGAAAGTAAAAAATTCTCACACAGATGGGTATTTGTACTCATTAAAGATAATATTAGACTGCATATATCATAAAATACTTACGGCACAGTACAAAGCAAAAAGCAAAACTAAAAACCAGTATATGCAGTATAATTACTATGTAAAGATGTTCATGTGAAAAAAAGACTAGGAGGAAGTATTCCTAGTTGACATCATTGACTGGATCAAGGTGATGTTAATACTATTTCAGAAACAAAGCTCTGATGTTTTAAAGGTGCAAGTATAAATGATTTTGACTGAGTGAAAGTAGCTCTGGACAAAATGAATGGGAGCAGGTGAAAATTCTGAAGTCTACACTCAGGGACTGTTAATCATGGAGCCCGACGACCAGGCGACATCCTTCAGATGCTGCTCAAGTGTGACTTCAGTCAGGTGATGTGGTGGAGAGACTATGCCTGTCCTCTTGTTTGGGGGAATGTCTCTTACAGAGTTTTCTCTTCCTTTCTGAGAGAAGATGGCTTTGAATTGTCCCTCCCTAGACCTCATGCAGCATGTCAAGAGCACATGTGGATTAAGAAAATCCTACCATCCAACCCCTCAGGGTCCAGCACTCTTTACCAAAAATGTTGACCAAGAGAAATTTTAAGTTTCAAAGAAGAAAGTATAAAGGTAGTACAAATTAAATGCAAAACATCTGAATAGCAGGGAGAGAATTCCTTGTGTGAAATTATCAACATATCCCTCAAATACAGCAAATGCTCAATTTTATAGATTTCACCCTCCTATGTAAAACTGAGCATTGCTCTCTCAGGCTGAATGAGGTCCTAACCCCTCTGTTGTTAGTGTGTCAGAACTCAAACATGCATGCTACAACCTCAACTCTTGACTATTACAAAGCAGTATGACTTCATCCAGATAAAACTAGACTCTATAAAGAAAATACGTAATCTCTGACAGTGAGATAGAGAAACAGAAAAAAAGTGAGAGGCACAGAGAAGGAGAGAGACAGAGACAGACAGAAAGACAGAAATGCTCAGACTAATGTCCGTTAATGCTACCATCCCAGAAAGATGAAGTACTGCCAATGGACTGCCATCCCCAGGACCCTCACACACCAGCTGTGTATGTCTATCAGTCTGACCCGCCTCCCACTGCTCCCTTTCTCTCCCACATTGCAACATGTTTCCCTACTGACTTTATTCTTGGAGGGCACTCAGTTTTTGTCATTAGCCGTCTGATACTCTAACATGCTAGAACATCGAGAAAATACACAAAAGGATGTATTTCTTATATGGTGGTAGAAGACATTCACAGTACTTACCCTGCTGACTTCCTTGGGGGTAGACTCATCTGGGGGAGGGGGAGGGAGGGGAGAAAACACAATTAGAACTCAGAGTGGGGTCTGGAACACGCAACACATCACTCTAATAAACTAGAAGGCTTCTCTGTAACACTTCCTCTTGTGAAATCTAGGAATTTGGTTATTAAAATTGTAAATAAAGGTTAAACATAATAGCTTTAGAGCTAGATGTACATATTAATTTTGGAGGAACATATAACAACACAACTTGCTGGTCATTTCAAGATCACCTATGAAACGGCTATGCCTGCAAATATGGCTACACCGTGGTTTATTCAAATAGAGTTTCCCAAAAAAATGTACACTCACTTTAAATGATTATAACATCAGTGTTTATTAACATACAGTTCATTTTCAAAATGTAGAGGGATCTACAGAAATAAATGTGTGGTGTTTTTTTTGGTCAATGCCTATTTTCCAGATGATGACCATTCTGGTCCAAGAACTGCCTATAACAGGAAGCAATGGAATCACAAACATCAGGAACCGTTTTGTTCGGTATTTGTGCCCTCAATGGGTTGACTATTGCCGGTTTTGTACCGTAAACTTTTATGTATTTATTTTTTAAGTCCTCCCCCAAGGATATTTTTCCCATTGATTCTAGAGAGAGTGGAAGGGAGGGGGAGAGAGAGAAACCTTGACATGAGAGAGACACATCGACTGATTGATTGCCTCCCACGTGTTACTCTGACCAGGGCCAGGGATCAAACCTGCAACCCTTTGGTCCACAGGCCAATGCTCTAACCACTGTGAAACCCAACCCAGCCAGGGCAACCTTTATCTCTTCTGTGTCCCCCCACCCAAAAAATCTAGTGGCACTTTAAGATAAATTTCTTTGTTCAAAGCTTAGTCTTGTTTCACCCATTATTTCAAATCAATTAAACCTGAAAAGGAGTGAAAATTGGTTATCGGCTGTTAAAGTGTGTGTACATTTAGGGGGTCACCCTATATATGTATAGAAAAAGGTCTGTAACATTTGTAATACTCCAAGTAACACAACCTACATGACTGTCTCAAGTGCCCATGAACACTGTGCCATAGGGGCTGACTCCAGCGCTTCCCATTTGCTGAAATAGGACATGTACCCCAGTGGCACCCTGGTCAAGGCATGCAGGGCCCTCCCTGTGGAGCTGGCTGCAAGGCAAGAATATACTTGCATGACTAACAGGGTACAAGAAACAAACTGGCCGAGACTCCACCTGAGGCCCACTGGTTCTGAGGGTACCATGCCCAGGTCACTGGTTCTGACCCAAAGAAAGTGTATTTGTGTGGCCTGTAGTCTTTAGAGTAATTTATGTATTGCTTACCACAGAAAATAAGTCATTTTTTAGTACCTAAGAATACACTGTCTAAAGGTAGCTGTAATTTTATTCTACTATGGCCTTGTTGCTGTTGAACACAGTAAAAGGATTAGTTATGTATGTAATTTAAAGAGAAATATTATATTACCATGATTATTTTCAATTGTTAGAAGCTTCCCCTAATGATTTTATTTGGATAAATGAAAGAGATCAGGAGAAAGGCAAGGATGCCCACTTCCAACACCTCCATTTAACATACAGCAGAGGAAGGTCTAGCCAGAGTGGTTAGGCAAGAAAAACAAATATAAGACATTCAAATATGAAAGTAGAAGTACAATGGTCTGTTTATCGATGATATGATCTCATATGATCTCTAAAAACCCTGAAGATTTCACACACAAAAAACTGTTAGAATTCAACAAAGTGAATGTATTCAACACAGTAGCAAGATAAAAAGCAAGCACACAAAAGTCAGTTGCATTTTTATACACTAACAATAAACAATTCAAAAAGAAAACTAAGAAAAAAAATTCCACTTACAATAGCTTAAAAGACAATAAAATACTTAGGAATTAGCCAAGGAGATGAAAGACTTATACAATAAAAACTGCAAAATATTAATGAAAGAGATTAAAGAAAACATAAATAATGAAAACACATCCCACATTCATGGATTGGGAGACAATATTGTAAAGAGTCACATGCATCTCTATCATTTATCCAANATTCATGGATTGGGAGACAATACTGTAAAGAGTCACATGCATCTCTATCATTTATCCAAATAAAATCATTAGGGGAAACATCTAGCAATTGAAAGTAATATTTAAAATAATCATGATAATAGTTCTCTTTAAATTACATACATAATTGGTCCCTTTACTGTGTTCAATAGCAACAAGGCCATAGTAGAATAAAATAACTACCTTTAGACAATGTATACTTAGTTACTAATAAATGACTCATATTCTATGGTAAGCAATAAATAACTCTAAAGACTAGTTTCCAATTAATATAAAGACCTATGTTTTTAACATAATGTGCTAAGAAATACAACCTTATATTGCTATCATACCATGAGTCAGAATTAATCTCATGATACACATGAATGCTTTTAAATTACTTATTCACTCATTCAATCTTTTATTCAGTAAGTATTTAATGTGGCCCGTATGTCAAACACTGCATAAGATATAAGAGGCTCAGTCAGTGCACAGAGAGCTCTAAATGCTTCCTTCTTAAAATTTAAAAACTAGTAAATAAAATATCTATGAAATGAAAGCAAAGTAGGATAAGCATGAGACAGAGGACATTTTCCATACGTATTAACACCAGTCTCAGGTGGATGCAGGCTCACAGACCTCAATCTATCAGAGGTGAGATTCAAATTTCACCAAAGAGCCTAGCCAGTGTGGCTCGGCGGCTGAGCATCAATTCATGAACCAGATCACGGTTCGATTCCTGGTCACGGCACATGCCTGGGTTGTGGGCTCAGAACCCAGTAGGGGGCGTGCAGGAGGCAGCTGATCCATGGCTCTCTCATCATTGATGTTTCTATCTCTCTCTCCCTCTTCCTTCCTCTCTCTGAAATCAATAAAAACATTTTTTTTTCTTTTTAAATCTCACCAAAGAGACAAAAACACAAGACAAGATTGGTCAACACAGAAAAATACTTCTGTAAAAGCAATTATAATCCAGAATTTCCCATGAAATTTCTTTCTAGGGTATTACTTAAAATAGCATTTATGTTATTCATAATTCCCCAAAGCTGAAAATAACTAAATGTGCTTTAGCAGAAAAATGGGATAAATATCACTCAGCAGCACCAAGGGACAAATAAGTGATACAGGCACCACATTCTGCTAAGTATTCAGTAGCTGGACCCACATTTAAACTTAGAGTTGTCTGATTCCAAAGTGTGCACTGAAATATTTTTACCAAACATTATAATATTGCTAGAAAACACTATCTAGCGATATTTTAAGGCTGAGAGAAGTATTATTAATAAGCCCATCTCAAATAATTCTCATACATATTTAATTAGGAAAGTAAATATGGTTGTTGATATATGTTTTAGATAAACTCTCTAAATGGAAAACATTATATAAATTCCAAAATGAAGAGTTTTGACTAGGATTGACCTAAGGACCCTGGACTTTTAAAACCCTTAGCTTAAGATCAATTTCAAAAACACTTATAATTACTCCAAGATGAATTGTTCCTTTCATCACTTTTATCATTTCCTGTCCGATGGTTTTGGACATGTGAAAACAGTCCTTACTTTGTTGTGTCTGTCTGCTGTCCTGGGCTTTTTGAGTCACCCTTGATGATGTTTCATGATGCGCACAGACTAGAGACCTGGACACTTTCCCTTTCCTGAGTCTTGTTCACTTAACGTGCACTTTTGCCAACATATATTCAATGTTTTACCGCTGGGTTTTAAACTGTGCCAAAACCAAAAGGGACAATTATTTACTCCACTTGAAAATACAGGTCAGACAGGTTCTATGAAAAGTTTCCGGCAAAACTTTATTCCTTGGTATTTCACAGACATTTGATGGAAACAGTTTTTGTTTCAATTTTAAGACTGAGCTACTGTGTTAAGACATCTGCAAGTATGTTACCAGTGATACTGACACACGACACCTCCAAACAAGTGTGTGATGAGCTCCAGGAGGCAACACTTGTACAGACTCACAGGCAACCTCACTCACTGATTTTTTAATACTGAACTAGACACTAGAGATTATGAAAAAATCCATTCAAAATATGTCTTATCAAATCTCCTTCAAGCCTTTCAAAAACCTCAGGTTGCCCTTAAGATAAAGTCAAGCCCTAACAGGACCTAAAAGGCCTGCGAGGGCCAGTCCCTGCCGACTTCTGCCTCCTCTTCCTCCAGAGCGCCCCACAAAGCCATCCCCCACAGGCCCTCCTGGCTCTTTCTTGATAACTTACACCTCGCATTTAACACCTGGTTACATATGCTGTCAATTTCTGTACTTTCACATCTTCATGTCTTCTTTCCTCACCACAAGTCCTTCAGTAAAGACAAGAAATTCGCTCCTGTGACTCACAAGGAGCCCAGAGCACGGCACAGCCAGGCTCAGGTGCTTAGTGCACAGGCCTAGTCTGACTGGCTGTGTACAGATGCAGTGCACCTCCAAACCAGTGTGTCAAGCAAATTTAATTCCACTAACAATTTCTATTTGCTGGACGTTATGCTACATAGTTTCAAATATACCCAGTCAGCAAGTCTGAAATAACCTTATTTTTGATTGTTTATTATCTGTCTTCTCTATAAGAAAATGACCTTGAGGGGAACAAGTTTATATATTGCTTGTTCAACAATTACATGTCCACGCAGGAAACACAAACACTCCCTGAAAATCCTCTCCACAAAACTGTCTTCCTCAGAGGTGTTCACTGAAAGGATGTAGAAGAAGAAAAGGGCTAGCTGAGGAGAACACAATATTTCAGCAATAAAAATAAAGTAAAATAAATGAATAAACAAGTGCCATAAAAAATAAAACACAGAGGAGGAAGGGAGAGAAGAAAAACAAATACTTCAACTGACCACTTCCTAACCCATCACTCCACTAACAAAGACATTTAACTTGCATTTCTGCATGTCAGAGAACAGGCCATGCTTCCTTCACAATATAAACAATACTTTTAGAATCATTAATAATCATTAAATCAAACCAAGTCTAATATTGCATTTTTCAATGTGTTCATATCTAAATAAAATTTCAAGAATGATTTGCCAAGGTTTTTTTAGTCAATGATCTTTATTTTGTGTTCACTGTCCCTCTAACTTTATCTCTTTAGACAGAATAAAGCTACCACAAAATTAAAATTCTAATATGTCTATTCATTCTACTTTCCAGTCTGTATTAAATGCCTGCTTTCTGTCACTATAAAGTAGGAAACAGGAAACTGTCCATACTCAACCTGAGTGAGATCTTACCTTCCAGCTTGTTGTTCTTCCTCTTCAGCCATTTTTCTACCGTCTCCACACTAACACTTTCAGACACAAATTCATCTAATACCTGGGGGTGAAGAGAAAGATAGGCCTTCACTTTTTCATCTGTCAAACCTGCAAAAGAATAAGAAGGAATAAAATTAGCTCATACGGTATCTTCATATACATAAAAGATAAAATTATACTAATTGATTTAAAACGTAGTAAGTATAAAAAGAATATAAAGTGTGTATACATACAATGGAATATTATTTGGCCATAAAATGGAATGATGTTCTGATATATGTACAACATGAAGGAGACTTGAAAATGAGTCCAATAAGCCAGACACAAAGGGCAAATATTTACCATCAGATTCCACAAACATGGAATGTCTAGAATAGCAAATTCATAGGGACCAAGCAGATTAGGGTTTCCAGGGGCTCAGGAAGGGGAGAATGGGGAATTACTGCTTAACAGGCCTACTTTTCACCTTGAGTGAAGGCATGTTTAGGAAGATGAACTGATGGTTGCACACACTGTGAAAATAACTAATAACCCTGAACTGTACACTTGAAATGGCTAAAATGGCAATTTTCTGTTATATATGTTACTGCTATTAAAAAACAGTAGAAAGAGAAGTTAGAACCTCAGTGATTTGAAACCACAGACATTACGTCATGAAGCAGCTGCTTCCCGACAGTAAATGTCAACGTTACACTTGAACTGGTGCTGCTCCAGCTGTGCAGCCACACCCTAGAAAGCACTTATCTGTTGTGTGTAAACAGCTATCATAGATTGAATACTCAAGGTAAATGAAACTGCAGCAATCGTACCAAACAGGAGAATGTACCACTGGTACATTTCAGGTCCTAAAAATGTTTAATGAATGAGTTCTTGTTACTTACTGTTTACAACACAAACTCTATTTTCCTCAGGGGTCCTAATTCCAATGATTTCAGCTCACAATAATGTTAAATTTGTTCACTGATATTCTACGTATGTAGTGTTTCACTGAAATAATTTTTGCAGTCTAATGATAACTGTGCTTTGATATACACAGGATTTTCAAAGTATCTTCACCTGTCTTTGCACTGACTATATAAAACTGCGTTTTGCATTTGGTGCTTCGTGTTGCTGTGCCACTTCATAAACTCCCAATCACAACAAGCTGTCCACAATTATTACTCAGTAACAGCAACTGTTTCCATGACTGTATCCTCTCTCTAATTGATTCAATAAAATTGCCATCCTTGGGGATGGTTAGATGAAAAAGACAATAAACAAATTACACTTTGAGATGCATAAAGAAGGAAAGGAAGCAAATATCTGTGACTCTAGGAAACAGGCTGTGTGTTTCCCCACCAAACAAGGCACAGAAGTCATGGGTTTGATTGTACAAGGGACAAAAGTCACCGCGGTTATGACTGTACCACAGAATAGTGTAACTGAGAAGGCAAATGATTTCTTTCAATGAATTCAGTACTTACACAGTCAATTTAAACAATATATATATATATACATGGATAGAGATAAAGATAGAGATATAGAGATATAGATTTACTTAGAGAGTTGGATATTTGTAATAGATCTTTTAAAAGGAGACCCCTGTCTACGTTCACCCTGCAAAAGAGCTCCAATGATGTAAAATTCTATCTGAGAAATACCACAAGGTGTTAAACATAAGAGATTCAGTAAGTAAGAGAGAGCTCCTGAGAGAGCAGGTTACAGTCCCAGAAGCCAAAGGCACAGGGTGCTGAAGGACACTGACAGCTGACGTGACCTTCAAGCAGACAGACAATGCACCGTTCATACTCTCTCTGATTATCTCCCCCATAATATAGCAGACATCTGAGAGCTGATTCCTTCTTTACATTTCCTCCCATTACTTTTGTGACCCAACGCTACACAGTTCTTACCCTAACTTCCCATTTGTGCGTTACTTCTGCTTTCTCTCCAATAACCAATGACGATGACAGGAAATCTAAATCAGGAATCTCAATATGTTTCTGATCTCTAGTCCTTGGATAGCCTTCCATCACCTCAAGCTCCATCTTGACTCAAAACTAAATGATCCATCTCCTTCCCACTTCTTCCCGAAGTGATTTTAACAACTTTCCTTTTTCCGTTATTCTCCATTTTCTCAGATACCCAGGCTGAAAGTAGAAAGTCGTATTTGACTCATCCCTCCTTGTCATCTCATTTCATCTTAGTGCACTGTTATACAAGCCTTATTTGCCAAATTACAAAATTGCATTATCTGACAAAATATACAAAGAATGCTTAAAACTCAGCAAGGAGAAAAACAACCCAATTAAAAGTGAGTAAAAGACCTAAACAGATTCTTCCCCAACGAAGACAGAGGTGTGGCAAAAAAGCATATGAAAAGATGCTCAATTTTCATCAATGAACTGAAGGTAAAATAAAACATGAAATTTCACTACATACCTATTAGAATGGCTATAATCAAAGAAATCGAGTACAACTGTTGGTAAGGATACAGAGTAGTAAGAACTCATTCACTGCTAGTAAGAATGCAAAATAGTAGTCTTTTTGGAAGACTTTTTGGCAATCTCTTATAAAGGTAAATATAATCTTACCATATGATCCAGCAGTCATACTACTAGGTAATTACCTAACTGATATGAAGACTTATGTCCAAACATAAGCTGTTGATAGCAGCTCTATTCATAACCAATGACCCAAAACAGTAAGTACCAAGGTGTCCTGCAATAGGAAAGTAGATACGCAAGCTGTGGCACATCCATGATATTAAGTATGATTTAACAATAAAATGGAAGGAGCTAACAAGCCATGAAAAGACAGGAATTACTCTAAAATGCACACTGCTGAGTGCAAAGTCTGAAAAGGCTACATATTGTATAACCCTAATTATACAACATTATGGGAAAAGAGAAACTATAGAAAGAGATAGTATGATCAGTGGTTGCCAGGTATTTGAGGGGGAAGGAAGAAAAACAAATGGGTGGAGCACAGGGCACCTGTTAGGGAGATGGAACTATTCTGCATGACACTATAATGGTGAGTCCATGACACTTTTGCATGTGAAATCTAAAAGAGCTGAAGTCAAAGTTATAGAGAGTAGAATAGTGGTTGCCAGGATGGGGTGCAGTGGGGTGGGGAGAAGTGGGAAGGTGTTGGTCACAGGGTGCAATCTTCCAGCTATAAGTTCTGAAGACCTAATGTCCAGAACGGCTACTGTAATCAACAATACTGCGTTATATACTTAAAAGCTGTTAACAGAGCAGGTCTTAAAAGTTATCACCCCCCAAGAGAGGTAATTATGTGAGGGGATGGGGGTGTTAACTAACCTTATTGGGGTAATTATTTCTCAATATATATGTGTATCAAATCACCAAGTTATACATCTTAAACTTACATATGTTATATATGTCAATAATTTCAGTAAAGCTGAAAAAAATGCTTTTGCCTTATAATTATCCTTGCCTTCTACTTTCCCATCTATCTCGCCTAAATAATTTCTTCCCATTCAAGCACATTCCCACTGAAACAAGATCTGTCTATGACCTAAAAAGCGGTCCCTTCACAAGCCCTGGTTGGACATGCTACCAGGACTCCAAGCCACGTAACTGACTCCTTGTTCCCAGGGACTGCACAGCTCGGAGGGGCGTCGTGGCTGCAGAGAGGACAGTGCTCCCAACACTCACAGTTTGCATGTTTCAGACAGTGAACCCCACACTGCTGCCCTTCTACACCAACATGAAATTAATTATGTGCTTCCCCTTGGCTGAGGATGTTGATGAAAGTTTCTTAAACTGAGAAAGCCAAATAAAAAGTTACGCTCCTCAAAGTGACAGGATCAAGATGGCAACAATGCTTTCTGAGTAGAACTACAAGAGTCAGCTTAAGTACGCCAAATTTATCTTTTCATGACTCAGAAAATTATATCTCCAGAGTGGAGTCTAGACACGGGCTGTGCAGCGTAAAGGACTTAATCCTCTCGGCACTGCACTCACATCCAAGGTCCTGGTGGGAGACAGTCCGTCCTGGTCCTCCAGGTTCAAAGTCACCAGACGCATGCTCAAACACAGGCTGTGTTCCCTAAGAAAATCACTCACCCATCTCAGCCTCTTGTTCTCTCTCACACCAAAACCACAGGGCCAATAATTGTAGGGATAAGACACATGCAAAGACTATGGAGTCCAAGGGCACATACAAACCAGCGCCCTGCAGAGCACAGAGGGTGAACTGAGAGCAAGGAAAACCTGTAAGTGACTGAGGAGCTATCCTGGAGGAAGCAGTCAATAAATCAGAAGATGGGTAAAGACGGGAAAGGAGGAGGCAAAGGCAGAAGTAATCCAAGAAGGTTTGAGGCATTTGCCTTGAACACAGCGGGACAGACAAAGCTCTTTCTGGATGATGGTGCCATGGTTCAAAAGGTTCAAGAGCCAAAGTAACTGATTTGGATTTAAAGGCACAGGACTGAGTAGTCACTGACTTCGGAAAAAGCAGATAGAACCAATATGTTCTTAATACAGCCCACATGGTAACTACAACCAAATGGCTAAAATCAAACTCTGCCACCTGAAAGTGAAAGTGATTTCTCAAATGTTGGACAATAGCACTAAAGGGAGACAAGCCGCACACTGAGTACATTCTGCACCTCAGCCCCAGCGCATACAGTGAATCTGTGGACAAACATCGCAGCTACCAAAGAACAAGGACCACCTACGCATTTAAAGTAACAATGACAAGGGGAATTCAAATCTCCCACTATATAAGGAGGTTTTCAGTAATGCATTTGATAAAATGTAAAATAAAAACCAAAAAGCTAATAATAGTGCCATAGAAATAAGCCTTATTGTAGCATACAACATATGCCTTACTTGTCCTAGTAGGTTTTTTGGAGATTCTTCAGGGTTTTCTACCTACGGTACTATGTATGGTGCTTATGAACAAAGACAGCTTTATTTTTTCCTTCATGTAGTTAAAAGGAAAAAAAATAAAACTCCATAAGAAATAAAAGCTCTGCTTTTGTCTTCCATACATACATCAAAGGAGCTCATCCAAGACCACAATTTTATTTCTTTATCCTTTGTCTCCAAATCTTAACTTTCTGTTGCTCGGCAAGTCCTTGTCCCTCTGCTCTGGAGCCTGCTCACACATTTCAACACCTCCCTATTGGCAAGGACTGAGCAAGGAGCCCAGGAGCCCTAACACAGTGATGTCTGAAAACGGAGTAGAAAATCCAAACAAAAACTGACAGGTCCATTCAGGATAATAAAGGTCAAAAGGTCTCTGACTTTCAATGCTGAAAGAGCTCTTAATACTTATGAATGACAAGTTCATAATTCTCCTCAAACATCATGTCAACAACTGATAAATGACACTAGGTCAATAATTAACCAACAGGAACTCATAAAAGATTAATCATATTAACTTCAAATCTATATTTAAACCCAG